GGTGCCTGTGGGGCCGGGCCTGCTGGCTGCCCTGCGTTCCCGGCCCTTCCCGCCAGCACCGGCACCAGCACCGGCACCGGCACTGCCACCCTGGGCTGCACTGGGTGTGGCCGGCTGGCTCTGCAGTCCAGGAGCCCGTGCCCTTGGGCCAGGCCTCAGCCGGGCCTCCTCGAGGGCTGCGCTCTTTGGGGACCACTGGACCTGCTGGGGTTGCACCCCAGCAGCTCGGGCAGAGCGAGGGTCAGCCATGCGAAGGCAGAGGTGGGGGCCCGCTGGGGTCTCGGGGCTGTCTGCCTCCTGTAGAAGCTTGTCACCCCTGCCTCCGCGTGTCCTCCCTCATTCCTGCGGTTCTGGGCCCAGCGTCGCAGAGCCTCCGGGGCAGTGCCCTGTGCGCCCGTGCTCCTGCGTGGAGACCCGTGGTCCCCTGGTCACACCCTCCTTGCTAGAGTCGGAGGCTGTGTCAGGAGCTGGGAGGGCAGGTGCCAGGTGTTGGGCGTCTACCTCTCTCGAGGCTCCCGTGCCCGGCCTGGGAATGAGTGGACCCGACTGAAGAGCAGACAGCCTGGCCGCCAGGGGCCGGTCTCACCCTCTAGCCCCTGCACCTGGGCCCGGCCAGGCCCCCTGGGTGTGCTCAGCCTCGCAGCCCTCCACGTCCAGTCCAGAGACAGGGAGCTGTGCCCTTGGCATGACCTTGACCCTCTAGGGGGGACCTGAGCCAACGAGCAGTGAAGGGGGTGGGCAGAGGTGTCTCCGAGGGCCATTCTGTGTGGGGGCCTGGTTCCCAGCGGAGGAGCTGGCAAGGGGCGGTCCCCTGGCCGGGAAGGGTCTGTCTCCTGAGTGATGCTCTGATAGGGATGCAGAGTGGAGCCTAGAAGAATGTCGATTTGGATGAACCGCGAAGGTGAAGGGCTCAGGCAGTGCCCCACCAGGGTCACCCGCGTGGGAGGGCACTGTGGGCACGGATGCCCACACCCTGTGCAGGGCGTGTAAGTTGGGAACCGGGGATGGCCCTGCCAGCGGGGGACCGCCTGCTGCGTCCTGCCAGCCTCACGCCCCACGGCTGAGAGCAGAGCGAGCCCCTCAATCCCACCGGGCGTGGGGGTCTGCTCACCCCTCGGCCACTTGCCGAGCAGCCCAGCGGGTGGGGGAGGAGGCTCTGCAGGGCTCTTCCCTGCCCTGGGCGGCCCAGCATTGCAGCCTTGGGTGTCTCCTGTGACCTTCGATGACCTTGCCCTGTGACCTTTGCAGGTGGGTCACTTCTCTGTGGCTGTGCTTGGGAGGAATCTTGGGGTCTCCTCACCCCGCCCCTGCCGTACAGAAGGGCGAGGTTGGAGCTGCTCCTTAGACAAGGGAGCGTGAGCCGGGGGCTGAAGCCCGACCCCAGGCCTGAGCCTCACCCGGCCGCCCACCCACCTCCAGGAGCTCCCCTGACCAGGAGAGAGTGCGTGCCCCCTCCTTCCTCCGGTGCGTGTAGGGCTGAGATGGGCGGTGAGCCAGGTGACCCCAGACGAGGGGATGGAGGCTGCTGCCTGGGCTTCCTCGGGACGTGGGTCTCCAAGGGGCCCCTGAAGGGGGCGGCAGGCTGTTTGCTCAGAGCCTGGGCCCTGGGGGGGCCCCCCATTGTTATCACTGCACTGAGGAGGTTGGGGGCCAGGACCCCGCCTGGCCTCAGAGCCCTGTCACTCCACATTCTCCACACCCCGCCCCCACCCTGGCAGTGGCTGGAATCCACCCCCACACTCTGAGGGGCCTGGGGCGCAGAGCGTGTGGCTTCTTCAGAATAAAACGGTGACTGTTTCCAGCCAGGCCCTTGAGCTGCCAAAAAATGCGGAGCATTCACCGTCTGGCCCCTGGCCGCCGATCAGTGGGCAGCGTTCCTGGGAGGACGGACGCCCCGCACGCCCCATGGTGCTCCCTGCCACCCGGCTCCGCACTGCCTGGGAGGCCCTTGTGGTCCTGGGGTGTGGGGTGTGGGACAGACAGAGGGACAGAAACACCCCCTCCAACTGTCTCAGGCAGGCGCTGGGGGGGTGGGGCACATGGCAGGCTCTGGGCCTGGGCCACAGGACTCCTGCCCCCCGCACCCCCCAACGGAGCATGGGCTGTGGGCCCCCCTCCCCTCCCCCTCCCTGGGGGACGCTGGGCCCTCAAGGCCACCTTGTCGACCCCATGTCCTGACTGGCAGGAACAC